GAGAACCCTTCTGACCTTTATCTCCATGCCCCACGTGACACCCACACTTCAGAACACAATAAACCAACAACTGTGCACGTGCACTCTGTGCACATCAAGCCACCCACTAATGTTACAGGTATGCTGCACAGAACAAGTGACTGAAGCCCCCAGAGAATGCCCCCAGCCTGGCACAGACTGCACAGGGCTGGGACCGTTTGGCCCTCCTGTCACACAAGCAGCCATGTGCCAGAGGGGTCTGGTATCCAGGTGTGCCACATCCCACCAGCTGGCAATCTGCTCTCCATGGGGGCTGCCCAGATCCTCAGCCAGGGTCATTCAGAGCATCTCTACTCATCTTGTGGCTTGGCATTACTTTTAGCTACTAGTTTATCCAGAAACAGTGGATCTTGGAGAAGAACAAGGTCACTCAACACGTGACATGTTTAAACAAGCAGCAAACAGTGATGCAACTCTTGGAAAATACATAAATGTACTGTCATACACAGATTAAAATCATGCAGCGCTTTTTGGAGAGGAGGAAAAGGAAGTATCCTCTCCCCACTCCTAAACCCATCATTTAGGGATGCTGCTCGCACAAGGACAAGTGGCTCGTGGTGGTGTTTTCAATTCTCCACCTTCTAGGGAAGATAACACACTGCAGAGCTATTTTAAGAACATCTCATTCACAAAGGTCTCCAATTCAGTCTTCAGAGAGAGAGATGATTTTCTTGCTGCTTCAACATCTTTACTGGCATGACATTTGCTTCAGAGGGAATTCATTTGCTGTTCCAACATCAGAATGAAGCAAGAGCAGCTGCCAGGAGAGGGATAAAAGGAAACTGGTGACAAAGAGCAGCAGGGTCATTTCTGGTGCAAAGAAATATAGAACAGAGAGGACTGCAGAACTGTCACTTTCTCCAGAAAGCAGTGGGGGATAAAGACTTCCCCTCTGTCTCCTGCAACTGGTGTTTAGCAGCAAGGAGGAAAACGAGACAGAAAGGACTAAACAATCCGGCTGAAGTCTTTAAATGACTAATTATTACAAACCAACTGTAAGCACCTGAGCACTCCCAAGCTCATGTGTAAGTGTTGCAGGGAGCAAAGAATCCACCAGTCAGTCAGGACTCCCCAAAGAAAAGACTTCTGGCTACAAAGCTGTGCAGAGCATGAGTTCCTGTCTGGGAGCTGACAGTGCTGGGCCGATGTCAGGGCGCAGTGCTAATCCCACCGTGACATGTGTCTGTGCAGCACACTGGACAGACCCGGGGCAGGGCTGTCAGCCACCACAGCCACCTCAGGCACTGCTCTGGAGAGCCACGGAGGGCTGACAGGGCAGGGAAGGAACATAAGTGCCTGTAGAGTCTGATGTTCAACATCAGGGAGATGCACGATCTTCCCTGACACCGTCTGTCGCTCACACCAGCTGGCCCTGCCCGTCCCAGGCAGTGCTGCCCTGCTGCAGGAGCACCAGCCCACCCTCTGACCCTGTCCAAGGCAGGGCCACGTTCCCACACTGCTGCTTAAAGGCTCTCCTGGCCAACGTGCCTTTTGGCCTGACCAACAACCTTACGCTAGGCCACCTGCTTGGTTGGACTACTGGATTTTTGTCCCTCTATCTTATTAAAACATTGCCCTGAGAGGGCAGGGATTTATCCCTCATTCCACAAGATGAGCAGATCCTTGCCCTCTTCCTAGATGAAGACATACTGCCATCCTTGCAAGCATTAAGACAGAAACCTTTATAAATAACCAAAGTTAAATGAAAATATTCTTTCCCCTGTTCCTCACTGCATTTATTAATGGAGTAATTTATTCTTTTCCAGTTTCATAGAGAAAAGGTTTTAAAGACAAAAACTCTGGGAAATTATTCTTTGCAAAGAAAAGGAATAACATAATCCAACAGGAATTTTAATCCCATGATATTTTGTGTATATGTTTATTCTGCTGCATATTAGGATCACAGTTTATTTAGAGCATGGTATTTATCTGACTAACCAAACTCCCTCAGATTCACAGCCATCAGCACCATGCTTATGACACCTTAAGGGCTTCAGCATTAGGATTTATGAATTAAATATTTCCAGGGTGTTACAGAACACTGAGGACTGTATCTGCAGAGCGGTATATCAGGGTATGTGTGGGCTTGTCAAACACCCACATGATAAATTATCAATAGTGCAGCTCAGAGCACCCCCTTTTTGGATCAGAGACAAATCCATGCCTTTTATTATGCTTTGTTCCACTTGATGTAACTTTTTCTGCATTAAAGGATCACAAAAAGCCTACATGCCTAAATGCTGAAGGACATTCATACACAACTCACAATCAAAAGACTTATTCTAATATTCCAAGTTCTGTTTTCACAGTTAGTTTGTGTGTGACAAGGGAAAAAAGCCCACAAGGTATGCCTGGAACTGAACCATTACATTTTATACTGTGCAAGATAATACAATCTTTCGTGGAGAATTTTAAGGTTACAACACTGCTAAGGACCAGAAACAGGACTGGCTGATTAGGAACTGTCCTCCGTCCCCGTGCACAGAGAGCTGTCAAAAAGATTATATCCCTGCAAAGCAAGTGTCAAATCCAGGGGGAAAACAAACCTCTCGAGAGTCAGAAAAGACTACACTTGATGCCGTGGATTTTTGAAAATGAACAAGTCTGTGCCCTGTGTTTCTCATGCACAGTATTGACTTTTCTATAGAATTTTTACCTGAGTTTAGCACAGACAACCCCAACCATAGCAGCATTCCCTCTCAGACAGCAGACTTGTACTGGTTACAGCACTTTCTGTGAGCACAATGCTAAGAGACAGATGCATGTCCCCATGAATAACTGTCTTCAGCAGCAAGAGATTAGAATTGATCTGTCATGTTTCAGCAGCAGCAGTCACCAATCCTGTATCTCCAGGCCTCACTGGGGATGACAAATGAGCTGCCCTCAAACCAGGCTTTGGCAGGACCTCATGCAGTGTTTCTGCCTGCCCAGTTCCAATTACCATGGTTGGATTTTGCCAACTCGCCCATCAAGCAGCTCAGGCTCACTGAACTACTCCCAGAACACTCCTGCTCCAAGTTCCAGGAGCCAGCTCAGTGCTGAGCCCCCTCAGCAGCCTTCAGGGGCAGGAGGTGACGAGGAAGGCCTGACTTACACCACTACACCGATAATTCCCTCTGCTCTAAGCAGGAGTGATTCACAGCACTCACAGGGAACACGTTCCTGCACTGAGGAAACAAAGGGTCTATCAGGTGAGCACTTTGTCAGCAAGTTCTGTGTTTCCTTAATATCCTTTGAAAAGCTTTTTCCTTACACATACCTCCATACTCATCAACTGGATCTCCTCCTCCTTAAATTTCAGAGCATGAAGAGCCTAAAAAGCAGCTGAACTGAGAGTGTTAAGCTCCACAGCTTGGTAGAGGCCAGGGACAACAATTAAAAGTGTTTATGGACCCAGTGTGGCAGGAAGATACACTCGTCAGGGTGGGTCACTCCAACGTTGGCACCTGCCAGAGCTCCATATGGAGCCCGAGATAGCACAGTCCTCCTGCTGCCTCTCACCTCTCTGAGGGGCAAAGCAAACATGGGGAATATGGCTGCAGCATTTAGTCCAACCCAAATTAGTCCAACCCAGATTTTACCCACACTTTCCAGAAGGAAGCTGGAAGGCATGGTTTGGAGCGTGGGGAAAACAGGTGCCAGTGCCAGGACTGTAACCCTGCTCTTCTGCTCAGTGCTGAAAACCCAGAGACATGGCAGTGTCTGACCACACCTCAGGGCACTGCTAGGGCACTCACTGACCCAGTAAAGTACCTAACTGAACAAATACTTAAGATGACACTGTATTGGGACTTGAATAATGGCACTGAGACAATGATCTGCAGGTACACCAAGAATCCAAGTTCCCACACAAGGATTATTAGGCCTCTGCTCCATTTTACTACTTGGAAAGGTATTGCAATAGCAGAGAAAGAAAAAGGTCCATAATGAAGAGGTGTGGGAGAGCTTTAAAAGCCTTCCAGTTCTGCCAACACAGCCCTGTGGCCTTTGGTCCCTGCTTCCTTCTTCAGTCCCCCACCCACACCTCCCCAGAGACCAGGAGAACCCTTGGTCTCTCCATATCCATACCCACATTACCAGCCTGTTATCAACTCCAATGAGTTACAGCTACAAATACAAGTTCTAAAGAAGTATTCTGTTTCTTCCAATAGGTGATACTAGAAAATGCCTGTAAACCAAGCCTAGTCTTGCCTGCTTTTCCTTTTTTCTTTTTTTTTTTTTTAAGTAAAATCTCTGTTTTTAGAGACATGAGGGCAAAAAATCTCTGCTATCATGCTGGAATACAAATAAAAACATTTCAAAATGCAGCAGGAACAGCCTTAACAAAGAAACCCATCTTCAGTCCTGCAAGTCTTTTCTTGTTCACATTGTTAAAGAGCAGGCAAAAAGGATCCAAACCCATTCTTACAAAGGTTTTGCACTCGAGTTTCAGGAACTGTAACAGGCTGTCGCATTTGCGCTCTGCCCGCCGATGTCCGGCTCCCAGAGACAGCGAGGGTGGGCGGCAGGAGCGATGCTGCAGCACCGGGGATGTGCTGGCACAGCCCAGCAGCGCAGCCGGCCCGTCCCAGCTCTGAGGGCTCCTTCCCTCGCCCCGGCAGGGGCAGGGGTAGGGGCAGGGGCAGGTTCCCTGCCGGTCCCTCCCCTCCTCCGGAACCGCTCCCCGCGTTCCGTCACCCGAGGGAACCTCCTTGTCACCGCCACAGGGACTTTAACTCTGCCCCACGGGCAAGGCTCTGATAACCAGGGGGTTTTCTGAGGCAAAACTATTCATCAAGTATGATCAATATTCACATGCGAAAAACGGAAAGTGTTCGGATTGCGGGGTGTTCCCTCACCCTGTGCCGGAGGGAACGCTGACGCCTCACACAAGGACACCGCGTTCCCCAGGCCGGCGGGTCCGTGGCGTGGGTGAACTGAAACAACGCACAGAGGGTGTTTTGGTGCTGGTTCACACGTACCTCGCACGGGGCCCCCTGAGCGTGTCCTGGGCACGCTGCGGGG